GGTGGCTGCAGCCACGCGGCCGTATGTCTCCTTCACACCCTCGTTTAGCTCGCAGGAGCGTGTCTGTACGCGAGAAGCAAGGCCAGGAAGAGGGTTTATTTAGCAGCAGCTTCCTGCCTTTCCCAGATTTGCTGCTACATCCATCCTGACTGTAAACGCAGACGTTTCTTGCTTTTATTCCCCGCCTCACCAGGACCAGCTGCCGCCTGCCTTGTCGTGGCTCGGCGGCCGCATTGCACACAGCAAGAAGGTGAAATTCAGCGTTTCCCTTCGGGGGGAAGAGGAGGATGCGAATCTGTCCTGGCTGCCCCTTCACCAGCGTGCACAAACCGTTCCCACTGTCCCTGCCTTGACCGGCCCGTTGGCTTCGCCACCTCCAGACCCGAACCGTCAGTGGCAGCTCACCCCCCTTCCGTTGCTCTGTTCTCTTCCTGACGGATTTTGTGGCTTCCCTAATATTGCATCTCTGTCATTTTTTCATCTCCCCGACAAGGCGCAGCTCAGTCCCACCCACCCCGCCGAGTCCTCTGAACTTCCCCGTTCCCTGCGATCCGCTGTCTGTCACTGCAGATCGCGTCTGCCACCCCCTCGCCGCAGCCCACGGCTGTCCGGGGGGAGCAGGGCTGATTCATTCACACCGAGGAAACCTCCTCCTGAAAGCGTTGCTGCTGAGGAGCACTGGCCTCCTCCCCTGGGTTTTGTGCGCAGGGAAAAATCTTGGAGGACTGTTGTCAGGGATGGAAGCGGTATCAGGAGGGGGCAGCCTGCAAATGTCGATCCAGCGGCTCTGAGTCGTTTTTTTACCTTTATTGCACAGGAAGAACCGGAGCAGTGTCCTGGGTGGGAGGCTGTTTTCTCACTGAAGGTTTGGGCTGGCATTTGGGGATGAAATGCAGATTGGCTGGTGTTTGTCCCGGGGCGGAGCACCTCTCCTCTGGTTGCTGGAGTTTATTCCACCAGCAGAATTCCCGGCCTCTGGGTGTTTGCTGGCATTAGGGCTGCCCTTGGTCTCTCCTTCTGCCTTGGAGGGCAGAGTCCCTGCACTGGGGACCTCTCGGGGGCTTTGTCCAGCCCCAGGAGTGTCTTCTGGTGGGAGTCCCAGAGCTCCTGCGGGGTCCCCCCGGGCCAGGGGCTGCACCCGAGGGGATGGGGGGGTCCTTAGAGCGCTCGGTTTGGGGGCTCTGTACACACGGTTGGTTCCAAGGAAGTTACAACCTGTATGTGCAAGAGTTTGTGTCCCAGACAGAAACTCTCCCCCCTGAGCCCCTTCTCCCCGTTCCATCTCTCCTGGCAGGTGCCCGTGGCTGCGTGGTAGGGCTCTGAAGATGTCCAACAGCAACACGACGCAGGAGGCTCTGGAAATAATGAAGGAGTCTGAAAAAAAGGTGGTTGAGGAATCTGTGAACAAAACCAAATACGTATCCAGGTCACCAAGCAAGGAGGAGGTGGAGAAGGATGGCGGGGAGGAGGTCAGCGTGCGCCAGGAGTCTCAGGTGAGGGTGCGGACGAGCTGCTGTCCCTTCTGAGAGGGGCCTGAGCCTGCGCTGCCACCTCCCAAGGGGACACCACGCCGTACAGATGTGTGTTCTCTGTTGAGCTGAATCTATTCTGCTCAGAGTGGAATCATTTAAATATTATTTGAGCCTGGGAGAAAATGAGGCTGGTGTGCTCCTGGGGGCACTTGTGCTCAATCCTCAGGTTCTAGTTCCCTGGCTCTTACCTCCCTCTTAATCCTTCCTTTGACCTAAGGATCAATTAATGGCTTAATGTGAAGTGAGGGCATCCCAGGGAGAGCTTGAGTTCAGGAACGGCGCTTGGCCGTTGCTTTGCTGCTCTTAAAAATGCCCAAACAGGAAGCGAGTGTTTTGGGATTTCATTTCAGCAGGGAAAAAAAACCCCGTGCAAGCATCATGGGGGCTCGTTCCTGCTGCTCTGCTCTCCGGTCACATCTTCAGAGTCACTTCACACGCTCCGTGCTGTGCTGCCCGGCCCCACAAACACCGTTCACAGTGCACATGTCCAGACTGAGTTTTTTGCTTCTCTTTCCTTTCTCCACAGAGGCGAACGTCAGGTCATGGACATGCCAGAAAAAGAGCCAAGGTATGACCTCGTCTGACATCCCGTTTTTCTTTAGGCCACTCCGAGCAGAGTCGTGATCCCAGCCTCAGGATGGTGCTCTCGGGTCTTTCCTGTCCCCAGGAGCAGCGTGCAGCACGGGATGGTTCAGGACAGGAGCTTCCCATGCGCTGGAGCATGCGTGCTCCTTCTTGACACACACTCACCCCTGAAGGAACTGTTTGCTGCTGCTAACTACCACGCTTGTCCCGTCCCCAGAGCCCACAACACCAGAAAAAATACTCCGAAAAAAAACATTCAGAAAATGTTCATTAAGAAATATTCTAATGGTTCTGTTTGGTCTGAAAAGCCCGGGCTCTGGGCAGTGCCCCCGCAGGCTGTGCTCCCTGTTCCTGCCCTGTCCGTACACCTCCAGCCTTCCTCCGCACGGCTGGTCCTGCCTGGGCTCTCTGTGACTGCTCCATGGGTTTTGTCCTGTTTGTCACCCTGCCCAGAGCCCTGGAAGCGCAGGGTTTATTTTAAGCATTTTCTCTGAGCGCTGCTACATCACCCAAAATAACCAAAGTCAGCAGGTTAGACAGGCAGGGTGTACCTGGGCTGCCAGCCTTTTAATTAGGAACAGGAACAGTCTTCACTGCACATCTTAAAAACCAATAAAAGAGGTGGTTTCAGCCCTGTCCTTTGCTGATGGTTTTAATTCGTGCCAGGTGAGGAGGGGAGAGGCTGGAGTTGCTCTGCCGGGAGAGCTCAGAGGGTTAATTACAGCAGGGAACTTTCTCACCTGGAGTGGGGTTGGTCCAAATCCTAATCAAAGGCTGAAGGACAGGAATAACTGATTTGCTCTAGAACTCCCAGCTCTGCGTGATCCCGTTTGCTGTGAGAAGCGGGTTTGGTGGTTCCCCCTTTTCTCAGTTTAATTAACGACCAACGCAGCGGGTGCGTTCGGGCTGAGGTGTCTGAACTCTCCTCTTTCTTTTCCTTCCCCAGTCCAATTCCAAGCTTAAGCTGGTCAGGAGTTTGGCTGTGTGCGAAGAGTCGTCCGGCCCCTTCGTGGATGGGCTGCTGGAGTCCCAGGTACGCCTGGGGGGGGGCGTGGGGCCGTTCCGTCTGCTCTCAGAACAGGGGGTCTCAGATCTGCCTCCTGCGTCCCCACCTTCCCGTGACGCCCTTTCCCAGCTGCCAGCATCTCCAGCTGGGGCAGCGACTGCCGGGAGCATCCGAGGGACTCAGAGCAGCCGGGTTTGTTCTGTTCCAGGACATCATCCAGCTGCACGTTAGCTGCCCCTCTGACAAGGAAGAGGAAAAGTCCACGAAGGATGGTGCTGAGAAAGAAGAAAAAGAGAAGAATAAAGAAAAGGCACCGAGGAAAATGCTGTCTCGAGGTCAGGTGCCCGTTTGAACGGGGCAGGTGCTGTCCCACCCGCCCTGAGGATGCCGCTGGCGGGCGGCTGTTGGGAGCGGAGCGGTTGTCTCTGCCGATGGCTGTACAGGAACGCGGCGTTTTTGTAGCGACGGGGAGGGAGAGGGAGGGTTTCACCAGACTGGCGCATGCCCCAGCAGCCTGACAGGGTCACTGCACCGGGTACAGCTGTCTGGGTGCTTCCTCAATGTGCAGATGCAAGCCCAGGAAGACCCGCTGTAGGCTTTTGCTTTCAGTTTAGATCTGATTTTCTAAAACCTGCCACAGGTGGCAGGACGTGAGGTTGCAGGGAGGTGAGCTGAGTTTCTGCTGTGTGATCCGGTGTGTGTGATTTTGGAGCGTAGAAATTGCACCCGGAGTCCTTGTAGAGGCAGCAGCTCTGCACTGGTGCAGGTACCCTTGCGCTGGCTGTTTCCCCTGCGATTGCTTTTGAATCAGAAAGGGTGAGGCAGCGATCTGGGGACATCATCCTCATGCGTGGAGCGAGACGTGCCTCTTCCCTTTGGTCTGTTCTGTTGCAGTGTTTGTTAATTTGTTCTGCTGCTCTTGTTTCAGATTCCAGCCAGGAATATACGGACTCCACTGGAATAGATTTGCATGAATTTTTAGTAAATACACTGAAAAAAAACCCACGGTAGGTCCCAAGGCAGTAAAACAACTTGCTGATGGAGTGAGGGGAGGGAGCGCCTGGCAACCGGTGCTTCGTCGGCTGACTCCCAAACCCGTGGTGTTTGTGTGCGTGTGCGGATGTGGGTGTGTGTGGTCGTGTATCTTGGGAGGAGGGGGGGCTGCAGCAACTACAGAAAGTACCTGAGAGCGTGTTTTGCTTTTTGGAATGCAGAGAGCGTTGCGAGAGCTGGGGCAGTGTGGAAACAAAAAGCGCAACTGTAATTTCATCTCCTGCAGTCAATCAAAACATGTAATTGCATATTACAGAGAGAGAGAGAAAGAGGAGAAATAATTTGTTTGAATGCAAGCAGGAAGGAATCTTGATTGCTTTAAAACCCTTCTATAAATGATTGTCAAATGTGAACCTCTACAGGAGCCGCTGCTGTGTCAGTAATCAATGTAATCCAGCCAAAGGCTGGCGCAGAACAGCAAAGCTGGAGTCTGTGCCGGGGGAGCTTCCAGCAGAGCAGGTCCCATGTTACCCAAAGCCAAGCGCTGGTAGCTAAACAACAACTTTCAACCGAAAAAAAAATCTGGCAATTAATTTACTATATGTGAAAAACTGGGGAGTTGTTTTAGCTTGTTGCTGTGCGGAGCCTGGCCGGCGGGGTTGCTCGCTCCGGGAGTCTGCGGCTTTCCTCGGGGGCGGGGAGGGGTGCGGGCAGGGAGAGCTGCCTTTCACCGTCTCTGAACACGGCCTTTTCCTTTTCCTTTTCTTGACAGGGATCGAATGATGCTCCTAAAGTTAGAACAGGAGATTCTGGAATTTATTAGCGATAACAAGTAAGTGATCATCACGTTGGTGTCAAGCAAAAGCAGTTTGTACCATCCAGCCTGGGAGCTGGGGCGCCCGGGGAGGAGGGAGGGTCTTTTGGACACGCGGGTTAGGGTGTTCTCGTGTACGTCCTGCACCTCCTCTTGTCCGTTCCCAAGGGTTCTGAATATCCCAGTGATTTGGTGTCAGCTGCTTTACCACCACACCCCCTGAAGGAGGTTGATGCCGTTGTGCTTCTCTTCCTGGCGTAACCTGGGGGTGGAGGGAGCAGGGGCAGGTTCTCTCTGTCTGACACAGCGTAAGTCCCTGCTCACGCTCCGCAGGCTCATCTGAGTTCTGTTGCTTTCTCCCCTCTTCTCAGCAACCAGTTTAAGAAGTTTCCCCAGATGACCTCATACCACAGGATGCTGCTGCACCGGGTAGCCGCCTACTTCGGCATGGACCATAACGTTGACCAAACCGGGAAGGCGGTCATCATCAACAAGACCAGTAACACACGAATGTAAGGAGGAGGGAGGGAGAGGAACCGGGCTGGCATCCCTTTCTCTTCCCTGCATGGTGCTGCATGACCCCCAGACGCAGAGCCCTGGCGTGGGCCAGAGCAGGATGGGTCCCACACCACATTTTTTTGCCACCGTAAGAAGGGCAGGTCCCCTCTCTAGAGGAATCCTTCACTTCCAGTCCTAAGCACATGTGTTTGCAAGACCTTCCTTGGTCTTTAGCTCTCAGAGAAGGAGCAGGAGCGCTTGTTGCCATCAGACAGAGGAGAGATTTAACACAACAAACATCCTTGCACCCCCGCTCGCTCCCTGCAGAGCAGTGGCTTTATGAAGACAGGTCTCTGCCCGTTTTTGCCCCTCTAACAAGGGCTGGTTCTTCCTGCAGCCCTGAGCAGAGGTTCTCTGAGCACATCAAAGATGAGAAGAACGCAGAGTTCCCCCAGAGGTTTATCCTGAAACGGGATGATACCAGCATGGACCGAGATGATAATCAGGTAAGGGCTGGCGGTGGGGTATCTGCGTACTTTGGGACTTTTCTAAGATGAGAACAACTCCAAATTTCTCTTGGGTTTCCCAGCAGTAACCTTCTTTACTAGAAGCTTCCACCCCACCCAAACAGCAGCGTCTAGATATGTCCCAAAAACCTTATAAAACACTGTGGAAAAGCGTGAAGAGGTTGTGTGGGTTCTGTGAGGGGCACTCCTCTGTCCCCTGAACATCGGCTGGTGGCTGGCCAGGCTTTAGGGTGACGCCTTTGGCTCAGGTTTCCGTGGAAATGCCCCAGAGCTGAGTGTTGCCCAGCATCTCCCCCACCCCTCCCGGGGGCTTGCAGCGAGTCAGGCTGTGAAGTCGCCAGGACCTCGCAGTGCTGCTGGAAGGAAACCATCGGCACCATGAGACCCGTTGAGCTCGGCAGCGCTGCTGGTCACCACTGCTAAAAACCCTCCCGAGCCTCTGGCTGCCTCCGGGCTGTCACGGGTGGCACCACAGCTGGAACGCAGAGCGAGCTCGTTCATCCGGGGCTGCTTCCCAGCCTGTGTCAGGCAGAATCTTGAACGTCAAAAAACGGGGCAGGAGACAGGAGACCTCTTCACCAGGGCTCTCGTGCTCTTTGCCCGTGTAGCTCCCATCTGTACATCGCCCCCGCGTACCACTGCCCTGTGTTTGGGGTTGTGTTTTTGAGCTGAAGTCCCCGGGATGGGGAGCTGGTCGTTGCGGTCGGGATCAGTTTCTGGTTTCCCCGCGGTGGTGCTCTGCAGCTCCCCACGACGCACTGAACCCACGACTAAGCAGGAGTTGGCTGTGTTGGCTCCAAAGAGTGGCCTCTAGCTTTTGGGCCCTGGGCACGGAGTGGCTTTCAGAAGCACACGGCGATATTCCCGATCCGTCCCTTCCAAACCGGGCAGAGTTCAGACAGTGGTTGTGCTCGGTGCAGGCGGTGGAGCGCAGGATGCTCGTCCCTAGACGTAGGCGCCCGGAAGGTGGGTTCGGAGGCAGGGGCTGTGTCACTGCATCCTGGTGTCACGCACGCACCCCGTAATCCACGTCCACTTACACCGCTGCGTAAAAATACCAGCAGCTTCGCCCCCCGCTCCCGTTGGCAACTGCTGACCCGCTGAGATGTGTTTGTCCCTTCAGATCAGACTCCCCTTGCAGGATGGGAGGAGGAGCAAATCTATAGAAGAGCGAGAGGAGGAGTATCAGCGGGTCAGGGAGCGGATATTTGCACGAGAGGTAAGCGTGGATGACTCCCTTGCCAGGTACCCTCCTGGAACTTTGTGGCAGAACGTGTCCTTGAGTGTACCGAGAGGTCAGATCTCCTCGTTGCCTTTCCGATGAATTTCCCGGTGTTCTTCGTGCCTGCCGCTGAATTCCAGCTCCTAACAGAGATCCAAAAGGCTGAGATAGAGGAGCCCCTCCCTGCCCAGCCTGCTCCTTCCCTAAATCGCCCGTTTCGGGGGCAGGAGGCGTGTGGGTGCTGGCGGAGGAGGCGGTTCTGCTCCTCGCTGCTCAGCGAGATGATGAGCCTGTGCAGTGGCCTTTCTGGGGTGACCGGCAATCGGTCGATGGACCCGAGCGGAGCAGCAGCTCTCTCCCCCGGCTCCTCTCCGGTGCTGCAGCTTCCACCTCCTGCCCAAGCAGCGCTGGCCTTGGAGTCCCAGGCAGGGCTCTGTCCCTTGACGGGAAGAATCTGGGCAGTTTATCGTCATTCTCACCAAGTGTCCAGCTTGGCTGTTGCTCCCTTGGGATTGCTGCTCCCTGCGTGGGTCTGCTCTGAGCTGGAGCCGTTCCTCGCTCACGCCCGGCTCCGGGGCTGCTGTGCTCTGCGGTGTGGAGCGCTGTCTGCCAGCTGGAGGCAGCTCTCCGGGCTCTGCCAAGTGGCAAATGATGGCATCGGGGACGATTCCAAGTGCCCATCTGCCGTGGATCACGTTCAAAGTCCAGCTCCGTGCCTGCTGCTCTTGAGCATCTCGGGGACGCCGCCTTTCATTCGTCCCGGGGGGGCTGCCCCGTGCCGGCCCCGGGAGGATGCTGAGGCCCGCTTTCACCACTCGGGTCACCAGGCTCCAGCCAGTTGTGACTGTGGACGTGTCTCACACGCAGGGGCCCAAAGCCACCCCAATGTGTCAGCAGCGGCTCTGCCTCCGGTCCTGGGCTGGAGCCGGTGCTGCCGCGTGGCAGCGCGGCG